TAAAAAAAAAAAAAAAAAAAAAACACAAGTGAATAAATAACCTTAATAAGGACCTTATAATACGAAAAGAAACTTCTTTTCTTTCTCTCCCCACCCCTACCCCCTCAAATCGGAAATCTCCTCTCTTCTGATCCCTAAGAAAGGCCTAATATTCAGACAGGTTTCTAATCCTCTGAAAACGTGCGCGCCTTTTCCGTTCACGCGCCAGCACTATGGAACGAATTGCCTTCAACATGTGCGCTTACCAGAGTTCAATTTTTTCAATCCGAATCCAGACCAAGGTAAGTTCAGTTATAGTAACAACCGATTACTGGATGAACATGGTATTAAGAATTATACAGATCGGGGTAGCCTGAGAAACGGCAACCCACGTTTCTCCACTGGTTGCGCACGGGGAAACCGGTTGGAACGTCGCGAAATGTCGGCTGTTTCTCAGGTTCTCTAAGATCGAGTTAGGACTGCCACACTTAGACATTTTAACAGCATGGAACACAACAACTTGAGGAAATTAAAAGTTTAAAAACGTTCAGGGGGTAGTTAATTGGCCAAAGTATCAAATTTGACAAGGTACCGTATAAAGTAATACTGAAATCTTAATCTTCAACGGTTACATTTGTTGATACAATAGCGAGAATGTTTTCAGGTTTCCTGGAAAAAGAGTCGAACAACGTGCTAAGTTCCACGATACGTAAAATATTACCTGACTTGTCGAAACCATGGGTAAGTTCATGTCCAATGATCATACCCAAAGAGCCATAGTTGAAATATCTGTAGAGAGACGGTGAAAATTGAGTTTGGCAAACAAAGCATTGCTTAATTCCACATCGATAGCCATTTCTAAATTAAGCTATTTTGGGGTCGCACCTTCAGCTTCTCAAGAAAATACCCAGTAACATATTGGTCGGACAAGAGTATCCTCCCATGGTAGCTCGGTTTTAAGTCCCTGATGCGGCATCGAAACGAACGTTGTTGGAAAATGGTCAACATTTTAGCGACGTAATTCACCCACTTGTCACCAATTGTCAGAACTGACCGGCCACACCATTCCCGTCGTAATGAGAATTTCACTTTTAATCAAAACTAGCCAGCCAGACCAGTCAAATCTTAAATAGTATGCACGAAGGAAATGATTTTTCCGCAAAAACTCTTGGAAAAAGCCGATTTCATTTGAGAGTTTCATTTGATAAGCTTCACGTATACGGCAAACGGCAAACGGCAAAAGTCAGATTTAAGTTGAGAATTTCTCAAAATAGAAAATAAGCAGATAAAAACAGCTCAAAACAATTATTATGGATAAAAAAATTGCGTGAAACTACTAATTTATGTGTAGAAATAATGAACAGTAAACGACAAGTTAAGGGGAAAATTGGTCACGTGGTTTTCCGTTTGACGTAAACGTGATGCTTTATCTCTCTATTGCATAAATCGACTAAGATGTGCTTCTTGTTGCTGGGATACAGACTTAAACCCAGGCCTAATAGCCACGTGCTTGGTACAGTGGGCTCAGTTATGACTATCTGTTTATCAATAAACAGATGCTCGCACTCGGCCGAAAACCAGTTTGACGAGAGGGAGAGAACAGGATTGACCAGTCCAGAACTACAATTCCTCAGCTGCAATTCAGGCAGATCCTCCTCTCTCCTCCACACTAAAAAAGACTTAAGGGTTTTGCTGAGAGTGTGACTGAGCTCGACTTCAACCAGCTGTGATTTTTATACGGTTACTAATAAATTTTATCTAACACTTTTTATTTACGCACAGGCCTCAAGTATACCTACTTTGGATAATTCTTTTTGTAGAAGGGAGATTGTAGGATTCCAGCCAAGAACACTGTCGGAGACAAACAAACCTGATTGATTTAAATCTGCTATCTTTCTTTCGAAATTGGTCTTTAATTAAGTCAGTATCAAGGATAATAAATCGATAAGCATTGGCAAAACATTCATTCCTGAATTGATCATTCCTTGAAGTCAGACCAATCAATAGGAAGTACAGTAGACATTTAATCCATAACTCGAACTTGGATAACCCGAATTCCCCGCTAACTCGAACTAAATTTCCTTTCCCTTGATCAAATTTCACTGAAATTTACTCCGATAATTCGAATTCCTAGCTAACTCAAGCTGTTTTCGTTTCCTTTCAGAGTTCGAGTTACGGGGTTCTACTGTATTTGAGTCAAATGAACACCACTGTAAATCCCAATACGACTGAATCAACTGTGTTGATTAAAACTTTTACTGATACAAACTCCTGTTCAACTAGTTAGTACTTGTTAACTCATTTGAAACAGATATCTACTCCCTTGAGTCACTTCACAAATACGATAAAATATTTGCGACCAATTCGTATTAGCTTTAAAACTGCTAATTGTATACCCTATGCTTTTTTATTGCCCTTCTCTTTGACGTAGCCGTCGTCGCTGACTAAGTGGACTGACCTTCTTTTTCAATCCTTCATTTGGAAAAGACCTACCTATGCGATTCTGCTGCGGACTGTAATAAGCATTGATTTGTGCAGGACCGTTTAACCACCTGAAAGATGCACAAGAAATGTTACAGAATGATTGGCAAACACGAGAGCTGTGTAACCATCGAGTTATGGTTCAAGGTTACAACATCGTCCAACCTCTTACCCATAACCTCCTACCCATGAAGAAAAGCCTTGGGAATTGCCAGCACTTTGAAAACCGGAGGGCCCTCGTAGACGTAAATCGCATTGACGTAAAGCACATTAAATGAATGACACTAAACTAAAAAGGACTAAGAGACTCTTTACAAACGCTATCCTCCACCGTGCCTTCGTAAGGTGCGTGTTTAACAATTTTTTAAAAAAGAGGCAGTACTATAGGCATTATGGGGATACTGTCGCTGAAACACAAAATTGCACTGGACAGAGAGAAAGAAATGAACTAAAAGTACTGGAGAAAAATTATTTTAATCAACGACAGCATCAATTAATGGAACAACTAAACGTAGTGTGTATTTAGCCTTATATAGTATTTTAAACACAGTAAATCGTCAGTGGCGCTTACTTATTTCTATCGACTGGTTGCCCAAGCATTCCCAAATTTTTCTGGACCACCATCTTGTTCAATGCCAAAGTGTTGTCGAAAAAATCATCGCTTACAATCAACTGGTGATTGGGAGAGAAAGATCAAATTAAATTTTGGTAAACAATATAATAATATAATATAAATAAGTGCTGAACAAGTCGAAGTAGGATATAGGTACATAGAGACCAGAAAACAACAACAATAAAAAACAGTCAAGAAGTTGTCAATTGTAAAGTAACTAAAGAAGCCAGGGTCACTTTTGCAAAACTAGCCAATCAAATTACGGAAATAAAGCAAAATATTCCCATAAAAAACTTTTTAAAAGGGTAATTTCACAGCAGTGTAATCCCACGGGGATAGGGGAGAGGGGGGTTGTTACTCAACAAAATTTACGGGGAGGCTCTATCCCGAGGTCCAACCCCTTACCCCTTTAGTATACCTTTCTTTGACAAATGTTATCTCTCTCGCCTCTCGCATACCTAGTTTAAAACTTTGCATCCCTTGTCAAATAAGGAATAAATTAACTTTATTCTATTTACAAAACCATAAAAATTTTCTCGACTTTCACAGCCATAAAATCTTTCTGTGACCCTTTTAGGTAATTTTACAGACCGAAATGACAGATTTCTCTACCCTTTCATATACTTCAACGAGTGAAATCCCTACTCCTACATATACTTGAAGAATGAAAAAGGGAACGCTTTCGGGCGGAGCCTCCCTGTATACGCCATCAGAGGGAGTTCTCCCCCGCCCCCAACACCAGCAGTTCAATCCATTGCCTTATAGGGTTTTTTTTTTCAAATACTTGCCTCTTCGTTTTTTGATTTTTAACGCGTTTAATCTCAATCGTCACTACAGTGTTACCGTATATATATATACGAAACTAGAATATAACCACATCTTCAATCTCGAGACTCAGTCAAGAATAAAACAAATTAAATCAAACACAACCATCAAAAGATATGCTCACCATTGAGTAAAGCGCGTCAAGTTTGCTGTCATCTTTAATGAAAGAGGGGTACCCCACATCCTCTTTTATAGCATTGGCCTGTAACACCAAAAAAAGGATAAATGGTCCGCGGTCCGTGTCAAAATTAAATTCAGGTACTTCAGGTCAATTCTCCATCTCTTTTGTCTCCTAACCTTAACAGGCCACTTCCGAGTTCCAAAAACCCTCACTTTCAAAATGAGGCCAAGTGCACAAACTTTCTTATGAAAATGAGTTGTATTTGCATGAGAATGAAAAATCATTTGAATATGAAAGACTGAGCACTTAACTTCGTTTTCATACAGAAGCCCGGGGGAACTCGGAAATGGCCTATTAGGCCCTTTCCGAGTTCCAACAACTCTCACTTTCAAAACGAGGCTAAGAGAAAAACCTTTGTTGAGAAAATGAGTTTAATTTGCACGAGAATAAAAGAGGGCCATAAGTTTATTAGCTCCGGCTATTTTGTGTCAACCCTCACTAAATAAAGTCTTAATCCAGCCTAGTCCCTAGGCGTTCTCTCTTGATCCGTTGTCCGCGCGACGTCTGAGAGAGAGCGGGGAAGTATCTCTCGGTGACGTCACAGATCACGGTAGAGTCCAGGATTGACCGAGACGAGAATGCCTAGGGACTAAGCTGGTCTTAATCTTATCTTATCTTATTTTCATATTAATGGCCTCACACTTAGCCTCGCTTTGAAACAGAGGCTTGGAGCAACTCGGAAATGGCCTTAGAGCGACCAATCCTATGGGAGTTGAACCTTTTTCTTATGTAAAAATTTCTTTTGTTCCAATAAATTTGCATAGATGCTGGCCACGTGAACGCGCTTTGTGTTTTCACATGACGTCACGGCGGCCATATTGGTGTCATACCAAAATTTTTTCAGTAGAGGTAGTCGTCGAAACAATAAAACGGCGGCCATGTTTGTGTCCCAAACGAATCCTGTTGGAGTTGAACTTTTTTTCCTATGTAAAACGTCCTTTCGTTCCAATAAAATTGCATAGCTGCTTGTCATGTGAGTAAAAACACTCTATAGACTGTTTTCACTCACGTGGCCAGAATCTATGCAAATTTATTGGAACAAAAGAAAGCGTTTACATAAGAAAAGAACTCAACTCCCACAGGACTGGTTTGGGACACAAACATGGCCGCCGTTTTATTGTTTCGAGACACCAATATGGCCGCCGTGACGTCATGTGAAAACACTCTACCAGGGCTAGGGGACAAAGGTCACAAACAGAGTAAAGGATTTAGGAAGTATGCCACACACACCAAACGTTCTAGGAAACGTTCCTTCACCGGTTTTTTTCATCCCTGGGTGCTAGCATACCTTTTCTTTAGCCGCATCTTTTGTACTCTTGTCCATCCAGTCTTGTGAACCAAGGTTATTAATAAAAGATTTGCGAACACGAGTGGTCATATCCTTTACCTAAAGCAAATAAAAAAGAGGTCGTCGCTGACTCATGTAATGATTAAGCTTCGTACATCTTGAACATAGTGACCGGTATATTATATATTTGAGTCCAAATTTGGGCTCGTTCAGTTGGTTTTAAGGAAAAATTATTCTTTCATGTAGGAGTACCTTTCGCAAACTCACTAATAATTCATTAAGAAAATACAAAGGAATAAATGTTTAATGAGTGTTTGGAAATCAGATGAAAAACTGCTCATTATGGCATCCTCAAATTCTNGGGTGCTAGCATACCTTTTCTTTAGCCGCATCTTTTGTACTCTTGTCCATCCAGTCTTGTGAACCAAGGTTATTAATAAAAGATTTGCGAACACGAGTGGTCATATCCTTTACCTAAAGCAAATAAAAAAGAGGTCGTCGCTGACTCATGTAATGATTAAGCTTCGTACATCTTGAACATAGTGACCGGTATATTATAAATTTGAGTCCAAATTTGGGCTCGTTCAGTTGGTTTTAAGGAAAAATTATTCTTTCATGTAGGAGTACCTTTCGCAAACTCACTAATAATTCATTAAGAAAATACAAAGGAATAAATGTTTAATGAGTGTTTGGAAATCAGATGAAAAACTGCTCATTATGGCATCCTCAAATTCTCCTTCTAAAATCGTTTAGTTTGAGAAGTAATATAAAGCATGAGACACAGTGTTTCATTACCAGATGAAGCACCTCGAAGTTTCTCAAAAATGATCTGCTGCGCGTCGTATTTGCAACTCTCTTCTTGGTGTTTTGGTGATGAAACACGGCGTCTCATGCTTGATATATTACGTCACAAAAAGACTTTAGAAAGAAATCCGACTCGTGGTTCCACGCGAGTTTTGAACATTACGACGACATGCTTATGGTCGATAGGGGCAGAGACCATAGCAAAATTGTTATCGATTTGTCAAATATCATTGGTAAAGGAGCAATTCGTAAACAACAGCTGTGGTTACAAACCAAGGAGCAATTTCTCGTGGTTATTCTTCTGAGAAGAACTGACAACAATACGTTTCATTCTAGCGGAAGGCGCTGACTCCCCTGCGTCGACTGCTGCGAGGGAAATTTACAGCCACTCGACTGAATATGTTTTCAGTGTCATTTACTTTCACTAACATCCAGAGATAAGCGTCACGTCTTTTCTCCCGACCAGACCGACTACCCGGGATCTCTAAATATGGCCAGAAAGAAGCAGTCACACACCCGGTTTAATTTTTCCCGCGATAAAAAGGATTCTATACCTATACCGCGGGAGAAGGGTTCAATTTAACCGCAACGAATAACATCACTTTACCGTCGATTTAGTGTTCTCATCAAAATGTGCATCAACAAACATCCGCGCTATTGTCATGTCCATTGGTCCCATCAATCCTTGGATACAGGCCGACCATCTCTGATATTCTCGCGCCCCAGCCAGAGCTTCTGCAAACTTAAGCTTAGCCTTAACAAATACTTCAGGCATTGCTACAACGTACTTGGAAACAACTTGCCATATTATGTAGTTCTTGATGACATCACTTCGGTCGTGGTAATTAAAAACAAGAATAGAGAGTATTAGATTCACATTCACTGCAAAGGACAAATTTAAATTAATAATTTCTTATAATTGAAACAAGCAGATCAAAACTGTCCGAAATCATTCTTACGCATGAATCTGGCTTGAGGCTACAAATTTTTGCCTGATGAGTATAATTAAATAAATGAACAGTAAGCCTGCAGGCACAGATTTCCAGAGTCCACTATAGGTAATAATCAATAGAGGAGATTTCCCTCGTTTAAATTTTCAGTGATTCCATTATCGCACTCTCGTGGCGCTTGCCAAAGGTTTGAACTGGCCGACTAGACCGCGCCGATCTCAAAAGTGGAGCATTACATATCGGATAGGTTCTGTGCCACACTTTTGTACAGTGTGAACAGGTATTGGGACCGTAGCATATATCTTGCCTGGGGCCCGTTTCTCGAAAGTCCCGATAATAAACGGGCGAGGTAAGCTGTCGCCGTTTGCATTAAAGATCGAGGTTCCAATAGTTTTGCATCTAGCATGATAAAACCATCACTTAGTGAAACAAAATAGAGTAGTCTGCTAGCTGGGACCCGCGCTCTTATTCTTTATATTTCGATTTGAATATTTGATTTCGGGCCCGAAAAAGTTACCGGGACCTTCGAGAAACGGGCCCCTGAACTGTCACTGCCTCCGTTTGAATCTACACGAACTGGATATAAAGCCAGTACACGTTCATGGAAGCCTGTCCTTTTTTTCCCTTCAGATACGTGAACAGCCTCTTGATTCAAATTAGCAGTTACCAAATAATCAACATGACCGTTGTAATCAGCGGGCAGAGGCAAATTTAATACACAGTTGAAACTGTCGAGCAACCCACACGGTGGCGATGAATTGAAGTTATTCACGGTCTTCAGCGAAAATGGATTGGAAATTTATTGCGTACGATCATGAATTTTGAAATGTGAATTATGTATATTTGTATTATGAAATTCTCCTACATCACCGGTTTTATCTCTTTCGAAGTTTAGATCCAATGTCAAAACCATTTCAGCTGCTAAGGTGAGGCGGGAATCACTTTCTTGCAGTTCTGCCATGCTCGTGAT